TCAGACATAGGAAGCAATTTTCCAGCTGGCTTCCCTCCTCCATCCTGTCTCCTCTGATCCACTCACTAGAGTCAGAATTATTTTACAAAGCATAGGTGTGGTCTCCAGGACACCACCTTACTCTTCATGCAGCAGTACCATGAAGCCAAAGATCACCCCTGTCCACCTCTCTCCTGTCCTCCAACCTCAGCTCCGACAGACTGTGCTCTGCTTCCAAGATACTTCAGTTTTTCTCTTGCTCCATACACCACTTCACCTCTAGGTTTTGGCACATTCTTCTTCTCTACTCAAATCTCCTTGGCTGTTCACCTTTAGGCATCCATTCCTTCAAGTTAGCTTTCTCCTAGCATCAAGTCATAGTGTTACCTCATTGGATAGGAATTCTTCTTGTCTATAATTCTTAATTTTCTAAAAGCAGAGGAAAGGAAAATGTTGTGTTTAGCCTTTTCCTATGGATTCCTTAGAAGAGGTCAACCCAGTGCCAACCACATAGCAGATGCTCAAAAAATGCTGGTTATGTGAGTAAATTTGTTTGGTGGTATCATTATGCAAGGTACCTTCTAGCTTTAACATCCTGCAGTTCCATGAACTAGATCTCAGAGATTCTGCATTTTCATTTTCTGCAAACTAAGATACATGAGACCTCCCACCACCCAAGGATCCACCTTTCTTAGTTTCCCATTCCCAAGCCTATCTTACATGGAATGTCCATCTGGGCTAAGAGAAATATTATCAGAATGAACACTAAACCAATACAGGAGTTAATTTAAGGCAGGATTCACTATCTAGAAATTGGGTGAGCTTTGATCCAGTATGCTGAGAGGCCATGAGGAGAGTTAGCTCTGCATTCTAGTACCAGTTCTGTCACTAACAGAGTGACGTGGGGCAAGACCTTGGGCCTCCTGAGCCTCCAGTTCATGGATGCCTAATTAAAGGAATTGGACTAGATCATCTTTAAGGTTCCTTTTCACACTCAAGTATAGAATTTCAGAATTCTGGCATTTGCTATTCTACCCATCATCCTGTAAGCCATTATTGGGATTACCAAAGAGACCATGAAGAGTATCAAGGGAGAGAAAGGAACTTCTATGAGCGTTCATGAAGGACAATGGTGAATACTTGGATTGTAACTGATACACCAGAATGTGTCATTCCCCTTGGTTTTAATTGGGTCTTTGTTGGCTGGGCTTCCAATCATGGGTTGCTACTTGTGGTAGCAAAAAGAAGGCTATTTGGGATTTGTGGTCAGGGTTCTGATATAGGATTTCAAGGAGGATGTACACATGGGTTCCTAAAGCAGCTAACTGGTACCACTACCATAAAGCTGGCACAACTGACCCAGTTATTGGTCCTAAACAGAAGCCTATGCCAAGTTAATACAGCCTCACGGGCTTACTCTGCTGAATTCAGACCCTCCAATTTTCCATGATCAGTCAGTGAGGAAACTACTATAAATCCCTTGGGCTCAAGTGCACAGCAACTGTTATGAAAATTTGGTCATAGAGAAACAGATGCCTGCATAAAATATACATTACCTGCAAACTCTGGCCATATTGGTCATCATCTCTACCATCTCTATACATTCCCCTCATGTCTATAAGGATTCCAAATTAGAGGTGCATTGGCTGCACTGCATTTGTAAACTTTCATTCCTATGGAAGTCAGAATAAATGGAACAAAACTGCACTACCTGAGAAGTAGATTGGTAGAGAAGAGCTACTAGAGAAGAGCTACTAGAGAAGAGCTCCCCAATTCACTGATAAGAGTTTTGAACTTGCCTTTCCTTGAGATATATGAGAACAGGCAATATTTCTTATGACATATTTTTTTTAATGGTATTGGGGTTTGAACTCAGAGCTTCACACTTGCTAGGAAGACACTCTACCACTTGAACCACACCTCTAGCCCACAGCCATTGTTTCTTATGAACACTACACAAGTCCTAAAGCAGTTTAGATGCTCCCAGTGCCATCTCTCCCTTTAACGTTTGGAACATTCTTGCCTCAAGAAGGCGATCTCACACATGGGGGTCAGACCTTAACAGGGTACAAGAAGAGTCACAGCTGAAATGTCAGGTTTGCCTATAAAAACGTTAAAACTAGCCTGTTAGTACTCAGAACCAGTTGCTCAGCTGATAGTGTGGAGTTAGAGAAAAGATAGTGACTATCTCTTGACCTTAGTAATTCCCACAAGTGGCTGCTGAAAACGTCCTTGCTCCTTTCTGTTGTGTCACATGAAGTAACCAGAGTTGACCTGATATCAAAGCCCTGTACAAATGCTATGGCTGAGAATGCACAAGTGACTGAATGGCAGAGATGAGAGATTAGAGATAGGGCTGTAAACTCACACCAGCTTTGGGGACTGTGCAGCATGTCACCAGACCTGGCCATTGTTGATTTTCCAGTGTTGTGCTGGCCAGATGACCATCAGTATCATTGCTTTGGACGTCAGCACACTGAGATACTCTAGGCAAATGAATGAAACTAGATTTCCCAGCATAGAAGTGTTTGCCAGGAAAATGGAACGGGTGAAAGGGACTGGACTTGAGTAAAACAGGAAATGGCACCGACCCAAGGGCAGAGAGGCCAGATCCACCTTATCTCCTAATTTGGGGTCCCAAATTCTCAATTAATGTTTTTTCCCTCATCTTCAAACCTTGTAAAATTTTCGCCAATTGAAAATTGATCAGACACTTTAAATGTCTGCCTCAGTGCACAAGATACCAGCAAAGGGCTTCTCTCTTCTGTTATTGTCCTTGGGTGAAGATAATTGGAGAATGGGCTTGTCCCAAAGAGCAGCAAACCACCCTCATGTAGTATGTCAAAAAATGGTGAGGGCCAAGTCCTTCAGCCAACTATCAGGAAGCGCAAAGACAGGACTCTCTCCATCTGCACTGGAGAAGGGCCTTTGTACAACTGAAATCAATCACAAACAACCTCAAGAGCAGTCGATGGGAAAAAGAATGGTCAGAGACAATTTGGAAGGTGAAAATCATCCTTGTTGACTTGGTTCTCATCCCATGTTTTGATGGATGAAATGTGCATCTTGGCAACCACGCTTGTGACTCCCACAGATGTTAAGCTGTCACCCAGCATCACTGAAGGGGATAGCAAGTTCTATGGCAGCAACATGGCATAATGGAAAGAATAAGGTTTTAGAAATCAGATGGTTCTCTGATGATCCTGATGACCTCTTGTTCTCTCTTCCACCAGAGGTTCTACAATTAAATGAGCTTCATACAAGTAAACATGAAGTGTGGATAGACAGTACACAGAAGACACAAACTCAAATTCTACGGGGACTAGACAGGAATGTAAATGTGTGGTGCTGGCTTACTTGGAACAAAATAGAGATTCAAGCTCATCCAGAGGGACAGCTTACTCAGTGCCCAGGGAGGGCTGCCCTCAAGGAAGGATGGCATTCAAAGATTATCCCACTATCCTATTGCAGGACATTATTCATTTGGGCTGTGCAGGCAGGTTCCAACACTATAAAGGCCAAACAGAACATCTCTGTCATACAATGTTTGTCTATCACCTCCTGTTGACATTGTCTCCCTCATTTTACCCAAACCACAAGCTAGGTTAAAATAGTTACGTTTCATTCTACCTTAGTTCTTGGTATGGTTTGGATTCAGTTTAAGTGTGTCCCCCAAAGGTTCATGTGCTGAGGCCTGGTCCCCAGTATGACAGTATGACAGCATGACAGTGGTGAAACCTTTAAGAAGTGCAATCTAGTGGAAGGTAATTAGATCATGGGGCATTGCCCTCGAAAAACATTAATGCTGATATTGAAAAATGAGAATGAGTTATTATAAAAAGAGCAGCCTTGGCCCTTGAATTTCTCTCACTTCTTCTCTCATCATGTCAGTTTTCTCCCTCCTGCATGCTCCCATCATGCCACCAACCACAAGGCCCTCATCAGAGGCTGAATGGTTAAGGTCACTGACCTTAGGCTTTAGCCTCCAAAACTATGAGCTAAATAAACCTCTTTTCTTTATACATGGTCTAGCCTCCTTGGTAATTTTTTTATTAACAGCTTCAGAAAACAGACTAATACAGCTCTGTTGTTCAATTGGAGGAAAGGGGGAGTAGGTGTCAGAGCTTTGGTTCTATAATTTGTTCCAAAGCCATGGTGGTGAGGAATCAAATTAGACTTGGTTAATTTCTTAGTCCACCACTCTACTGAAAGCATCTCAAATATATAGCTTTTGACTACCATCTTGTTTTGAATGACTCCATTCCCTTGGATCTTCTTCTAACCTTACCCAACCCCATCCTCCCACTCCTGCGATTGTTGATGTTGACTCTCTCTCAGGCCATTCCACAATGGCTTTGATATAGGGGTATCATTAAGAGATCACCAAAGTCCAGTTGCCTGAGATCTCCCATTAGTTGTTACTAGTTAAGAGAGGCCTAAGCTGATTTCATTCAAATACATTTTATACCTTTTACCCTGGTCAGCATTAAATCAGATACTCTGAGGGATAATGCCAACTTGGCACTGAAGGATAGCTCTCTGACCAAACTTTGACTGAGGCAGAAACTTATTCTCTGTGAAGTGTTGATTCAGGGGGAGAAGAGTCCAGATGTGGCTTCAGGTTGGCTGAAAAGTTGTGTCTTTGCCCAGGTTTGCAGCTGAAAGCTAAAAAAAACTATATAAGGACCTGAAACCATTTCCCAAACTCTCCCAGTGAGTGGTAGTGGCCTCACTGTGATTCAAGGCCTTCCTCATGGCCAGTTGGGCTCTCTGACCACTGGACCACACAGTCTGTATTTAACATGTACTCAGCAAACCTCAAGTTCCAGGCCCAAGGAAACAGATTTTCCAAAAACAGAGCTGTCTTTGTGAACAATTCAGCAAAAATTCTCTTTCCAGCTGTGAGTTGGGATTCGTGTGAAAATGTTGGTGTTAATTAAAAACATCCACCTTCTACAGTTTCAGTGAGGATAAAGCACCATGCAGAATGCATTCCAAAGCATTCCTTCTCCAAAGAAGTTATAAATATGTGTTTTATTTATGACACAGGTTGCCAGGGGTTCTGACAGATATTATCATTCCCAATTTTTAGCCCCAGTAAAAGAACTGGGGCCATGGGGACGAAGGTGATGTCCTCACCACAAAGCAAAAGCTGTTGTTAGAAAGTGAAAAAAAGGTACCATTTGTCTAGAGCCTACACCACGTTCAACTTTCTATATTAAGATCAGGAACTGTACCTAGCTGAAATCAAATGTTTAACAATTGAGTCATTAAAATTTTTCTTCATGTGGCTCTCAGTCCTATAGGCACAAACAAATGAGGTATGAAAAGGCCAGTAAAATTCCACAAAGGATGACACACTATTTTCAATAATTGAGATTACTTCCCTATATTCCTATTAGGGTTCGTGTTTTATTAGGAATCTTTACCTAAAATGTTTCCGAGGTAGCAGGATCACAGAGACTGGCTTGCGTTTCTTTGTGTGCCTTCTCTGGTTGGTTAATTTGTCCTGCTTCATTACATGATCCAGAGGAAAGAACCAAGCCAAAACCACGTCATTATGAAGGAATTCCTTTGTTTTTAATTTCACACAGTTTAAAATACAATATGAAATCAGGCTACAGTATATAAAAAACTCTCCAGCAAAATGATGTGCCAGCATCAGCTACTAAAATAAACAAACAAAAAACTCCCCGTAAGAAATTTTTTTTGCATGTTTTTAAAAAAAACACATAAGACACTTATATCGCTACATCTCTAAGCTACCTCAGTTCTGATTTTTAAAAAGCACCTGCTTTTCCTTTTTTTCATCTTGCTTTTAAATTTTCAGCTTTTAAAAAATATAAATTATATGAAAATACAAGTTGGTAAAGAGTCAAACACAATATAACATCTTTTTTACCCCAATACTTCTCAGCTTAAAAAAAAGTATTCTTAAAAAAAAGTTCAATAACTGAGGCAGTATTCCTGATAGAGATAATTTCATTTTAATATATATATATTTCATATATGTATATGTATACATATACTTATGGTTCCATGAAACTTCTTTGGAATGTATGTAAGAATTCAACAAATTTATATAGACCCCAACAGAGAAAGCAGCATGCACAGCATGGCTAGAAGAGAGAGGTGTATTTCTCACCATGAAGGTCAGGCAGGTTAATGCTCTAAAACCCAAAGTGTTCATCTCCAAAGTGAGGAGGAGCGCATCTGATCTTTGAGTGCTCTTGCCAATCCCCACGGCCACAAAATCGGGGCTCTATGTAAGGAAGCCCCTCCCCTGAACGCAGAAGGGAACACGTGGCTCTGAGCCCAAAAGCCAAAACCCACATAGGTTGAGGCATCTCTGGGAAAACAAGGGTGTCACCCAGCTTGACCAGATTTGCCCGTCCTTCCTCTGAAGTTAATATGTGTTTTTAAAAAGCATAAATGCAACAATGCTGCTACATATCCAGTGTATAAACCACCCACCACTCTTCCTGGGATGGTCTCTGGCCTTTGGACAAAAGGGGAAAAGCATCTGGCCAGATGGACAAAGCTGTCTGAACTAATACACTATCTACAAATCCTGAAACGGTGGACCTGGGGAGAAAGGGTGTCTTAGCCAACAAGGGGGCTGAGGAGCACTAGGAGGCACTGCTACAAGGGCTGCAGGAATCACAGACTCACAGAAGAGGAGTTCTCTGCATAACTTAATAGGAAAGACTGATGGCTTGAGAAAATGATACTATGTCTAGTTGCAAACAGCAGGCAATGACCAATACCTAGCCTTGGTTTTGCTCTCACCCATTATTTAAATGTGGAAAGACTTAACTAGAAAACTCAGGTACTGTTTTAGCTGCGGTTTGGTATGTCTGCAAACACACACACACACACACACACACACACACACACACACCCCTTGCCAGTGCCCAAAAAAGATCAAAGAGAAAATATGTAGTCCAAACAGTTCCACCTAACACTCCCTGAGCAGCTCCTAAATATTTTGAGAGCTTCATTAAGGCACCTGCATCCATAAGATGAAAACACACAGCTGCAATATTCTGCTTTTGTTGTCCATGTGGACATTCCAATTGGTAAGCATGAGGACTCTCATAAATCACAGAGCTATGCTACGTTTCTGATAGATCAGGGTTTGCAAAGGGATCTGAGAGTCAGCAATCAACTTATGCTAGAAGGTAGTTAGTACTTCCAGTTTCTTAGCAAAATCCCAAAAGGGCCAGCCCTGAGACACCCACCTTAATTGTTTCTTCTTTCTCCTGGAAGTCCGTTGTTATCATTTTAACTGGGTGTGTATAGAGTGGGAGGAGTTCTAATTGTATTAAGCACATATCCTCAGTAGTTAGATGTTGGGTTTTGCCCTCAAACCTCCTTTTCAGATACTCCTTTATGATCAGCAGAATTATGACTGCCTTAGTTCATTATCTGTATTTAAACTTTGGGGGAACTAAAAATATATTCAAATCTCATGGACCACCTTATTTTCCTCACTTAACCTCCTTCCCCGTGTCCTCTGCCCTCAGATCATTCCTCACTTCTGCAGCTACCCTTCACTTACCACTCTGCCAAGATAATGGATCCAAACACAAGGCCCCAGCATCATCTCTGCCATTTCCTTCCCAGGCAATCTCTCCTGACACACTCCCCAACTAGCTTCAGTTCTTCAAAGGAAAGCCTTGCATGCCTCTTCCCAAAGATGGCCAAGTCATATTGTACTGAAATTCTCTCTGAATTTCCATGGCTTCTAAAACCCAGCAAGTCTACGCTCTTTGATTCATGACATGTCTGAAGGTACACTTTCACTTACCTATCAGAAAACTGTATATTTCTTTCTGCTGAGTAACAGAGTAGGGGGAGCAATGAAAGGGAGATGCTGGGAAAATAAGACATAAAGGAGACGTTGTAGAGTGTTAGTTTAGAAAGACATGCATTCGGGACTTATTTCTTAAGACCTGAGGGATAATGCCCATTTGTACAGCTTTTATTCCAAGTCATCTATGTTACAGGTAGAGAATTAACCAAGAACCAAGGTAATCTTCCTCCTTCAATTTCCCTTCCTCAACTTCAACAGTGCTCCTACGTTGACTATAGTCCAAATCTAGAGCTGCAAAATACATTCAGTTCAAAGACTTAAAGTTTCTCAGCTCAACATTAAGTCCAAACCCCGAGAATCCTCTAATGACAAATAAGGGGGTGTGACAATGTTTTTTAAAGTTATAGATAAAATTCACATGCATAATCCCCCTGCACCCAAATCACCATTAATATTTCCTTCATATATAAGTCACATGAACTTGGGATATCTGATCTCAGTGACAGAGTTTGCTTTTCCAATGGGGTCTATATAAACAGTCTTCTTCCACTGTGACAGAATCCTCAGCCAGCAAATAATAACAAACTTACATGATATTGCAATACTGAGACCACCTTAGAGCTTAAGACGATTTTTAAGGAAAAAAAAAAATACTGGCACAAAATGTAATAAAATAAATTTTAACATAAAAACAATTTTGGTCCCTCCCCATGGAAGTCCATCTTTGTTTCAAAAAGCAGAGTGAAAGGTAAATAATTCTTGGTTTTAAGTGCATCCCCCGAAGAAAATATTTTTATCCCACCCTTCTCTTTTGTAACCTCCAAGACTTAAAAACAAAAGCAAATTAATTGCCTCTCATCAGTCTCACGACTCTTGATATGACATTTTCTCCTACTAATGGGTCCGTAACTCAAGATGCATTTTTTTCATGGACAATTTTAGAAATGACTGGACACATTTAGTCTCTTCCTCCTTAAGCCAGATCCTTCAAGCTTCTAAGAAGACCCCTCTCTCCTGAAAATCTGCTCAAGAACTTCTTGCCCCACCCACCCCACGAATCCTGGCTTTCCCTTTCCAGCCACACACAATGAATTACAGCTGCAGCTCCCTTAGCTCCCACCCCTGAATGTAAAAAATGAGTTCTGGAAAATAAAAAATAGAATAACAATTAAAAATTAAGAGTCCGACCAACGCGGTTGTTCTTTGAAAGGTCTCGGCAGGGTTTCCCCAGCCCCTTCCATGTCCCATCACTCATCAGCATCTGGTTTCACGTCGAGCATGGCATGGAGCTCCTCAGGGGAGTATCCCAGCAGACTCTGCAGGTCACAGACAAAGCGGTACACATAGCGTTTGCCCGCCGTCTTGTGGATGATGTTTTTGTCATAATAGTAGCGTAGGCCACGGCTCAGTTTCTCATAATTCATCTTAGGTTTGTTTTTCCTCTTTCCCCATCTCCTGGCCACCTGAAATTAAAAAAAAATAATTAATTAATGAGTAAAAATATATAGGATAACCCCAAAATATATGCTTATATGTCTATACCATCTTTCATGACCTGTGATATTCCAATGAGATAATCAGAGATTCGTGTACATACACAAGATATTTTTCAGAGCTATTTCCTCTGAATCCCACCTTTCTTTTTTTACTATATCCTTATTTTAACTGATGCATAGTAACTATGCACATTTATGGAGTAGAGTATGGCATTTCAATACAGGCATACAATGTGTAGTAGACAGATTGGGGTAACCGGCTTGTCTAACACCTTGGACATTTATCATCACTTTCTGTGGGATCATTCACAATCCTCTCTACTAGCTATTTTGAAATGTCCAATTCGTGACTGTCAACACAGTAATACTACTGTGCTGTAGGATGTTAGAAGTTGTTCCTCTTCTCCAATTGTACTCTGTGCTCACTACCCATCCTTTCTCCATCTCCTTCTCTACACTCTTCCCAGCCTCTGGTAACCATTATTCTACTCTCTACTTTTATGAGACCACCTTCTTCATTTCTCCCTGTAAGTGAGAACATGTAGTGTTTGTCTTTTAGGGGCCTAGTTTCTTTCACTTATATAATGTCCTCTGGTTCCATCCATATTGCTGCAAATGGCAGAATTTCTGAATTGTAGTTTTCTAGGGAGGGTTGTCAAGTTAATTATTTAAGTTGATGAAAAATGCCATGACCTTGAGCTCTTATGTCATGAGGTTAAAAGCATTTGATTTTGAGAGGGAAAAAAGCCATACTATAGACTTTCCTTTTTCCCGATATTATTCAGAGAATATTCTTGCTTTGAAAGCATGAAATCTAACACAAGGGCATGAAGGGGAAGAGCTGAGCTGCAATCACACCTGCCTTTCATCAACAGGAAGCATCTTTTCTGTACCAGGGCACAAACATTTTCTCATGTCTGCCAGAACAAAAATCTGTCTCTCTTGTTCATTGTTTTTATCATCAGAATTGGGCATGGCATAGATCAACCACTCAATAAGCATTTGTGTAATGAAAGGATGAATGAACAAATTACATCAATCTTGCAAGGCCTCTTGAACTGTCTGGCCTCTTCCACAATCACAAAGCCACAGAGCTAGGAAGAGGGCTAAGTGAGAGACTCTTTAGACAAAGGGCCTACTATGTGCCTGGCACTTTATTATGTGCATATCATTTAATCCTGGAAAACAAATAAGCAGTGTAGACATTTTCTACTTTCCAAATGATGAAAGTAAGGCTAGGCAGGCTGCATAACTTGCTCAAGATCTCACAAGTAACAAGTCACACAGCTGAGCTTGTGATCTTAGGAAGGGCCCACACAAGCCCGTCCTAGGATTTCCTCTCATCCTCCCTCAACCCAGGACTCTCAAGTCATTCCTTTCTTACCTCATCTGGGTCAGAAAGCTTGAATTCCCAGCCATCTCCTGTCCAGCTGATAAAAGACTGACAGGATTTATCAGTGAGTAATTCCAGAAGAAACTGCCACAGCTGGATTGGTCCACTGCCTAGAAATACAAGGTGTCATGAGTCTTTACCCCACACACTCAGGGCTCTTAGCAACTAATCCCATTATTCTGTACTACCTCATCCTTCTCTCAGCCCAGTAGCCAGGAGAAAATGAAGACAGGCCATAGTGCAGACATTAGAGAAAACGCTGAGCTCAGATAGAAAAGGTGAATTAAAAAAAAAAAAAAAACATGTAATCTAGCAATTGCTTTATTTTGATTGATTCAAGTGTCAGTCCATTTTAATTGTTAGGCAAACTGTAGAAGAAAATATAGGGTCTATCTTCTGATATTTCCAAGGAAACATATTCTTATATACTAGCCTTAGTATTTACTAAAGAATGTCTATGCCATTCCAAGCAGAAGTCAAAGCTTAGACGTGGCCTTCTTCAGCAGGAAGCCCACTCTCCTCAGGTTCTCTCACAAGGAGCAGACAGTGAATGTCCTTCAGTCATGTTTCTCCCTGTCAACACCCCTCCCTCCCAGGTCACTCACAGGTAAGCACCCAAACTCAAGAAGTGCATTATCACTATTTAAGGAATTAACTTGCCACCCAAAGAACCCTCAGAGGTCAGAAGAGGACTGACTTACACTGTCTTCATAGGTTTAATACATGCTAACACACACACGCACTATTCTCTTGTCTTAGCTATCAGTGCTGCCAAGATTTTAGCTCCAGAAGGCCTGGTATATTCTGTCAGTCAATTTATCCTATGCCAAATGATCCTAAGCCACATAACCTTCCTTTTACGATACCTTCCTATTCTGAAATGACAATGCATAGTTCCAAAAATCATATTTAATTTATAGGTGTGGCTGGGTCCAACAGTCCGTACTGCTACACTGTGTCTACACTGTGACGTGAAACCGAAAATCAGAAACAAATCTGAGCAGGAAGAGACTGGCAATGACCCTCTGTAGAGGAATAATGCCTGCGATTACCCACCTCATTTGGAAACTTGAGTATTTTTGTTTTGTTTGGTTTTGTTTTTGGTGGTACTCGGGGTTTGAACTGGGGCCATTTAAGCCATATGTGCAGCCCTTTTTAATTTAGGTTATTTTTCAGATAGGGTGTCATGATTTTTGCCCAGATCAGTCTTAAAGACTATGATCTTCCCACTGATACCTGTCTCGTAGTAGCTGGGATCATGAACATGTACCTCCATACATGGCTTATCAGTTGAGATTGGGTCTCACTAGCTTTGTGCCTGGGCTAACCTCAAACCTCAATCCTCCCGATCACTACTTCCTCAGTAGTTGAGATTACAGGCATAAGCCGCCATGCCCAGCTCTTGAAACTTAACTTTCTAATGTTTCTAGTCCTTAACCTTAGCTATTTCAAACATGTGTACTCCAAAGTAAACTGAGATTCAATAGGGGACAAGCTTTAGGATTCCTCTCCATCTAAAAAAGAAATGCCCTTTATGCTCTGTAAGGGCACTCTATCATATCTTATGCTTCTTCAAGGTATGTTCACAGGCTCTATTCTTCTTGCTCCTGGCACCCACTCTCCCACCTCCCTACAGTGAGCTGGGCACAGATGGTCTTATGTTTCCATGTTACTGGTACAGCAAAACGTGCTCAGAAAAGTAAGTTGACTTTGCTTCAAGGTCAGACTATAAGCACCAGGGTAGCCTCCACTGACCCTACAGGAGGAAACAGCTGCTGTGGACTTGTAGTACCACCACAGCCCCAGGAAGCCTTCCTACAGCAAGTGCTTTCCAATGGTGGTTTCCAGCACTCCTCTCATCCACACATCAAAGCTAGAGATGGAATATGAAATATCCCCACCTCACCTTTCTGAGAATGCACCTGCTGCTCCTTACAACCATCTTGCAAGAAATGCCTTACTCATATTAAAGAATAAAAGGATTCTATGAAGGTCTCCAAAGTAAATTAACAGTGGAAAAAACAGCCAGGAGGGCTGTACTGTAAAATTGTCACTTGCTCCATGTCTACCTGTTGTTAAAAATTCATGTGGTACATAACTCAGATACATTTACATGCTTCTTGAGAGTTGAATAAGGTTGGCAGTTACTGCTCTCTGCCTTGGCTCACAACACTAAACATGGCATCATATGAATAATCCATTGAGAAGCCATTCTAATGGACCCAGGGACAAAGAAAGCAAACTGCACTTAACAAATGCACCTGAAAGAGCCCTTGTGACAATTATAAATGTCCTGATGACTTTCATAGTGACTACAGACAACCAACAGGATCCTTGAAGAGAGACAGAGAAGCCAGCTATCCCAAAGCTCTGTAAACTGGGCCATTCCTGTGTCAACACTACAGACCCTGGATATGGAAGAGATGCCTTAAGACCTCTAATAGAGAACAAAACTCTAACAGGAGCCATGATTCATTGTACATCTTCTATTCACCAGACAATTGAGTAATGCTTTATGGTCATCTCATGATTCTCCACAGTGACTCTAAGAGGTAATGTTGGTGTTTTTCGATTTATTTCTATCACTTTATTGCAGACAAATCTGAGCACTGCCTGGATATTTAATTTGAATGACTCTATTCAGATCAGAGGTGGAGTAACTGGGCCTCGGACCCAAGTAGTCTGGTCTCCAAACTCTTCGATGCTACATTGCCCAAACAAATGCATGACCAAGGGATTAAAGGACCTGGCTTTAAAAAGTCATAATTTCTTCCTTACTTCTCCTGGAAGTCATGGGATGCTAGACAGCCATGCTACCTCTAGCCTTGACACCCAACTACCTCTAGCCTTGACACCTAACTACATAGGTGATGTTGCCAGCCCAGCCCAGTCAGGTCCCCTTGTGGTGGCTAAGCTGTCTTACATCATTATTTCTCTCTCCCACAGTTTACTTTAGGACTTCTGTCACATTGTGTAAAATTTCTTGGGAAGAAGGGGCTAAAATATCGAGCTGAGGAAAGAATGGAAAGATCAAGAAATACAGGTAAGTCCTAGCCATTAGAAGGGAATGACAAGCACATTTTCAGGCTCTGGGAAGTAAGGACTGAGTGCAGGCAGTCTCCTGCCCTTGACACTTGCAGCCATAGAGAGAGAAGGGGACTTCAGTTCATGTTGTCAACTCAGAGGAATCACCCCAGATGGGACTATTATTGCTATTTTTTTCCTCCAGTAACATTTCCCAAATTAAAATATTAAATAGTCATTTCTCTGTATAAATTTGATCCCTGATGTCTGTGAATGTGGCCAGGGAACAGGATAAGTCCTAGCCTGAGAGGTTATTGTGAACTCTTCCTGTATTGTACTCACAAACTCTCAATATCTCTCTCTCAAAAGCGATGTCTAGGAGTGAACAAGAACTGGAATGGGAAGAGACACCTCTGGTTAGCTTCCCAATGGAAAAGTCACCACAGTGGTGATGCCAACTGAAGTTCCCTTGTCAGGACTTTTGCAGCGAAACTCCAGCAAGCACACTGGAGCTGATGGGCACATTCAGGCTCTTGCTCTTCAGAAAGCCCACTCTTGGACCCAGCAAGGACACTCCACAATCCCCCTGAAGCTTCCCTCCTGGGATTTCTACTGACCCCTACACTGCCCTTCTGTAACAGGAAAACATGGCTTGTTCTCCCATCCACAAAAGTTGGCCATGGCAAGAATTCTAACTTCAGGGCCAGCTCATTCCCTGGATGGCCTCCCACAGGAGCCTGTTTCTACAGCAATGTGTCACCCTCGCTTCAGGCAGGTCTAGTAGGGAAATCAGGGTCATATGGACATACATGGCATGGAGGCAGGTCTGGGGTTGCAATGTTCGCTGGCTTCACACTCTGCATCCAATTCTACACCCAGACTCATGGAAGTAATGACAGAGTCTTGAACTCCTGGTTACCATTCTCCTGAAGGACAATTCTGTACTGCCTAGCATAGATCTGCTCATATCCACAGAGCTCCAGGGGTCCATCCCTTGCCCTTGCTCCAATATGTGCTCTTCTTTCATTCTCCCTGCACCACCCCCTCACCCCTGGGCCCAGCCCCATCCACCTACCCAAATGGACTGTAGTCCCAATGACCTTCGTCCCTGGGAGCAGAGACTGGTACTAAGAATAGCGCCAGTCATGGGAAAAGGGGAGCTCACATGTTAAATGTGACTCACAATGGTGTCCCTGTCTGGGGCCCCAAGGCAGTCAACAGCGCCCTTCACCATGCTGCCCTGCGGTGTCACACATCAGGAATCCAGTGGCATCACTGGGAAACTATGCTTCTCAAGTACAGCTCTGAGCCACAACAACAGAAGGGTCCCTGTTAGAAGGAGGTCTCTTTCCAAAGCAGTGCAGGAGGGAGGGCGCCACACACATCCACAGTCTGCTGCCATGGTCCCCTGCCATCTCTCTCCCATCTCACTGAATCTCCACTCCCCACAGCCTGGCTGCAGCTGGGGAATTTCCTTTGACTGCTTTGTCCTTTGCCACTTTGGGATGAGAGGAAAATCCTTATGACAATACTGATGGTCCTGATTTAAAAAACACAAAGAACACGATGGAGTCTCAGAAGAAGAAACACCAGGAAGAATCTCAGGCCAGCAGCTAAATCATACCAAGGGTACTTCCTTCCAGGGAACCCTGGAGACACCACAAATCTAGTTTTGTTTTGTTTTGTTTTTTCAAAAAAATCTCATTAAAACAAAGTAAAGTTTCAAGTAAATTCCTGCTTATTTTGGTCATATGTCCCCTGTCCTAGCCAGGAACTACAAGGCCTACCATCTATCTCAAAGAGGGTTGGCTAATAAAAGCTCCCTACTTTCTTGATCGCTTCCTCTAGGAATAAGAACAGAGCAACTTAAACAGCAGGGAGCTAGGAAGGAAAGCTTAATGAGTGATTCTTAATAGTCCTCCCCACCTGCCAATCTTCAGACTCTTTCCTGCTCCAGGTTTGGGGGTGGGCTGCCCACGACAATGCCTTCCTCGTGGCTGGTGAACAGAATTCAGGGTTGGACTTCAGGTTTTCCTTCTACTCCTTCCTCATTTCCATTTCAACCACATGCTGTCATCTGTGCCCT